AAAAAAAAAAAAAAAAAAAAAAGAAGAAATCTAGGAGGCAATTTACTGACATATTCTTATCCTTTAACGTAGGAGAGAGCAACTGCAATCCACAAATAATTAGGTGCCAAGGCTTTTTTAAAAGGGTAATTGTTATTTTAGTACTTGTATTATGGGTTAATTGTGATTTTAGTACCTATCCTTTATTTATTGCGAAAATACAACCCAACTTTTACGTTTTTTGCTAATTTGGTACCTATTCTTTATTAATGGCTAAAATACAACTCAACCTTTATATTTTTTGCGAATTTAGTACCTAATAATTTTTTTGTACCTAATAATACAAATAAAATATCTTTATTTTGATTTTTTTGATGTAAATCATAAAAATTGTTATTTGTATTATAATGAATGATACAAATAAAATGAACTGCATTTTCAATATTATTAAAATTACATTTAGAGATTCTGTAAAAAACCATATATAATTATTAATAACCATATTTAAATTGAATGGGCATATTTAAATATCAATGGAATGCAACCATGATTTAAAAAATCATAGTATCTCCAATGAAAATTCAAAATAAAAAATATTTCTCTTTTTTATATTTACCTTAACAACAAAATTCTTGAAGAAATGAAGATACATACAATTTTTTTAATATTAGGTAAATGAACTGCATTTTCAATATTATTAAAATTACATTTAGAGATTCTGTAAAAAAATCATATATAATTATTAAAAAAAATATTTTAAAAAAGTATTACTTTTCAAATAAATTATAAAAGAAAAAATTTATTTTATATCATTTTAACAAAATTTAATTTGATTTAATGTAATTTTATTTTATTTATATATATTTTTACTTGTTAAATTTTATTTCTTACACATTATTTTTATTAAAAGTACATATATTTTAATTTTTTAATTTAATAAAAATTACTTTAAATCATTTTATTGCCTTTCACTATATTTTTATTTTATAATATTTTATTATAATTTATCTTACCTTTATTTTTAATTTTATGATTTATATAATATTTTATTTGTATCATTCATTAAAATACAAATAACAATTTTTATGATTTACATCAAAAAATCAAAATAAAGATATTTTATTTGTATTATTAGGTACAAAAAAATTATTAGGTACTAAATTCGCAAAAAATGTAAAGGTTGAGTTGTATTTTAGCCATTAATAAAGAATAGGTACCAAATTCGCAAAAAACGTAAAGGTTGGGTTGTATTTTCGCAATAAATAAAGGATAGGTACCAAAATCACAATTATCCCATAGTACATGTACTAAAATAACAATTACCCTTTTTAAAATGAACATCTTATTTTATAAAATGAACATGTGTAAATATGTTTACACATGTTCATTTTATAAAGTAACATGTTCATTTTAAATTGTCTTTGCACACTTTGCTAGGTGTGCCAAGGCACACGGTAGTAGCACTGACTACAATCACATTTCTACCCTGCATATTCATCACTGCTACTACAGTGCCCTCTGGCACACCTAACAAGGTGTGCCAAGGCAATTTCAAATGAACATGTGTAAACATGTTTACACATGTTCATTTTATTAT